AAAAAAAAAGTCATTATCCTGAATATCCATCAACCAGAAATAGATCGACTGTTTTCCTACAACATCAGCTTTTAAAAAATATTTTATATTACTACTTGACATAGAAATTGTTTATAACTTTTCAATATGCACATATTGCATATATAACCCCTCTTTCAATAAAATATTTTCACAGGAGGAGGTCTAGATTTTAGCACAAATTCTTAACAGTAAATCACTAGTTTGCAACATTGTGAATGCTGATTTCTTTTTTCTTGTTTATCTGTATTTTCTCCCCCCCTTTTTTTTGCAAGAGTTATAAATCATTCTTAAGAGTTAAAAAAAATAAACCCAAAAAAGTTTTTTAAAAACATTTCATGAGGCTGTTGCCTTTTTCTCTCAACCATCTTTATTCTTTGGTATCACACTATGTTTTTGCATGTTTATCTTTTAATCTATCCTGAGAGACAGAAGTCTAAACACATCCGAGAAAATAAATGATACCTTCTGAAACCCTTAATTTGCACATGCAGTGGAAGTCCCTGCTGTGGGGTTTTCTTCCCACTCCTTCTCCTGTCCAGGGACATGGAGCCGTAAATCATATCCACTAACAAGGCAGCACTTGGGGGCAAGTACAGAGTCATCTGTACTTGTAGGGCACTGTGGAGGGACCATCACTGACTTTCTTACATGGGGGCCACTGATGATATTTTCATGACCCTTTTCCTGATGAGACAGTCATTTAAGATTTCTGAATATTCTTAAGAGGTCAAAGTCCACCCCTCTAGTAGTCTGTGCTTCAAAACTTATTTCCATTTTGACAAAAATAAAGACTCCAAAGAAAGAGGGAAAATGAGAAAGAGGAAAGAAACTTTTTTTCTTTTTTTTTTTTTTTAACATATTGGGAATGGTTTACACATTTTCTAAATGCCTTCTATCCTTTTAGAGAATGACGAATCCTGTGAGACTTTATGCTGAATATGTCTAAATATTTTCTACAGTCTGAAGAATAGGGTAAAAGCAAAAACTCTAAGATGAAATTGTGAGTATTTATGGGACTGAATGAGCTCACACAGCCAAGTAGGTTCTGACACTGTTCAGATCTAGGATAAATGCTACTTCTTCCATTATGAGCTGAGGACATGGGCAAGATAATAAAATTTAATTTCTGAGGCCTTTGATTCCTCATTTATAGAAACAAAGACAATGCTTATCTTGGATCAACAAATACAAAGAGTGGAATTTCTGGTGTCGATTTAATACAGTCATGCCTACTGATGCTATTGAAAGGTTCTGGCAACGCAAAAGAGAGTGGAGCCATCAAGGGGACAATGAACTTCAAAGATTAGTAAAGGTAAGGAGTGGGAAGGTGCAGGTGGGGGGATGATGGCTAATTCTGCTGATAGGTAGGTCTTGAATTTGCGGTGCCCACGGAATGTGGGTATGAAAAAGTCCTAGACTCAGACGGGGCCACAATGGATAAGCAGATTGTAGAAGTCCTTGCTCTCCATCTTGAATGCCAGTCAGAACCAACCAGGTGTGTGTAAAATTCCTAGAGTTCTGATTTTATTGCTCTGGGATAGCATCTGGCAGTCAGTCTTTTTATTTTCATTCAGCCAACATTTCATTTGAACATTTTTTTACTCAACATACTTTTTATTTAAATAGATTAATTATTTTATTCATTATATTTTTATTGAGGTAAAATTCACATAAGATAAAATTAAACATTTTAAAGTATAGAAATTCAATGGCATTTAGCATAATTACAATGCTGTATACCCATCACCTACATCTAATCCTGCCATACCTCATCATTCTCAAAAGGAAACCCTATGCCCAATTAAGCAATGATTTCCATTCCTCCCACCCCAAGCCCCCAGCAACTACAAACCTGCTCTCTGGTTCTATGAATTTGCCTATTCTGAATATTTCATATAATGGAATCATACAATATGTGGTCTTTGTGTGTATGTGTTTGTATGTATTTGTATGTGTGCGTGCATGTGCATGTGAGACAGACTGGCTTCTTTCACTAAGCATGCTTTTGTGGTTTACCCATACTGTAGTATGTATCACTACTTCGATTCTTTTTATAATAATATTCCATTGCATGGATATACCATTTTTGTTTATCCATTCATGAAATCATGGACATCTGGGTTGTTCCCAATTTGGGGGTATTGTAAACAAAGTTGCTACTATGAATATGCACATACAAGTATTTATTTAAGGGCCTATTTTTAATTAGTTGGAGTGTATACCTAGGAATGAAATTGTTTGATCATAAGGTACTCTTATGTTTAACTTTTTTTTTTTAATTTTTTTTTTTTTTTTTTTTTTTTTTAGTTTTCGGCGGACACAACATCTTTATTTGTATGTGGTGCTGAGGATCGAACCCGGGCCGCACGCATGCCAGGCGAACACTCTACCACTTGAGCCACATCCCCAGCCCTTATGTTTAACTTTTTGAGGACAATGTTTTTTTATAAGGTTCTCCAGATGATTCTATATAAAGCCGGTATTGAGAATCATTAATGTGTAAGGCAGATAATGTCATAAGAACAGATAGAATGCACATATGGAGCAGGAAAAGGAGAGGATCAGAGGCTGCCAGAAAAAGAGGTTGTAAAGAAGACAGATAAAAAGGGAGAAGAGAGGTGTCACAGAAAGAGGAGAAACTCCCTGGAGGGAAGAACCACCAATAGCAAAAGCCAAAAGGAACCGAAAGAGTCTATTGCATATGGCAAGATGGAAAGATGGAGCATGCTAGCCTCACTGAGGGTCAGACTTTAAGAGACAAGGGTGTACATGAGATTCAAAGAAGGCCAATACCATAATCTCTAATTCATTATTTGCACTTAAGGGAAAAGACCAGATCTTGCCTATTCTTCTATGACATTCAGAATGTGCAACACAAATATCAAGTTCACAATCAAAATCCTCTTTGACTGACCAGTTTACCCTTCAACAAATAATGGGTAACATTGCTGTCTTATACAGTGGTAACTGTATAAGATTACTGATCAGTAACTACCCCACTGACTGTATTATGACTTTTATAGGATTTTATCTACATGGAAAATATTTAAGTTCTGAAATATATAGTTAGCAAAAATGTTTGATTCAAATTTCAGTAAACTACTTAACAGAATCTTGCATTGGTCCCTTTTCTACTGATTAAAGTATCGTTTTAGTTTAAAGGTACGTACCCATTTTTGTATAACATTCACCAATCTCTGAATCAATATTTTTAAATTTGTTCTAATTAGCTATACATGACAATAGAATACACTTTGACATATCATATATAAAGGGAGTGTAACTTCTCATTCTTCTGGTTGTACATGATGTAGAATCACACCAGTCATGTAGTCATATATGTACACAAGGTAATAATGTCTGATTCATTCTACTATCCTTCTACCTCCATATCCCCTCCCCTTCCTTCATTCCCTTCCGCCTAATCCAAAGTGACTATTTAAGAGAATGTGTAATTATTTTACAGAAGAGCTCTTTTCTGAAAAAATAACATTTTTTCCTTCTGTAATTAGAGAAAGGGGTAACTCCTACATGGCTACATTTTAAAGACAGGGAGAATTAAGACTGACCTCATGTTTGAGGTTTAACTTCTTGATGAATGTGTACTCATGAAATATATAAGTGCTTTCTTTAAGGCTTTTTTTTTTTTTAAATCTGAAGTGTGAGATCAGCCAATAAATATCTCAACAGCAGGAAAGTAGTGCACCATCCTGGATTCTCCTCCTTTTCAATTAAGGCTTCTATTTTGTAGACTGTCACAGTATTTAATTTGAAATTTCCCCTTTCTGTGCCAATTGCAGTTTGAACTCCTTCCTGCAATACCCTTAAGCATACAGCCGTATGGGACACACAAAGGACCGTGAAAACAGCTAAAGCAAGAAGGGGAAAAAGATGTTTTTCTTTAGTATCAAGCACCTGGCAAGAAAAGAGCATGTTCCCGTAAAGCCTTAAGGCTTTCCTGGCTCTCCCCTGAGAATCCAAACGGACGGCATTCTGGTTTCCCTTTAAAAAACCTTTATAAGGTTTTAGCATGTTTGCCTTCAAGTCACAGGTCAGCAGACTTTTCCACGCTGTTTCTCGCTGTTTCTGGTGCTGCTGCTCATTTCTAGCCACTGACAAGCCGCTCCCTTACCAACATGGCGGTTGGCAGGCAGACGTGACCCACTTACCTGGACTTGTGACTCTAGGGTCAGCACAGTAACAACCTCCAGTGTTGAGGAATTCATAGAAATCAGGTGCCTGCCCCTGCCAGCAACTTCATGCCATAGACACAAAGGGAAAACCAAGGAAAAAAAAGTTTCCCATCACCTCTCTCTACCCTTCTTGCCATCTGCATGTCCTTGGCCTTTGGTGGTCATTCATCTTTCTAGGAGTTTATTTTCTTTATAATTCTGGCTTTCAAATCTCTATCAGAACTGGATCTCCACACAGCCAGTAGTCATGGAACGTAACAATGTCCCCCCTAAAAAGCCTTCCCAGACTAAACGAAGGACCAATAAAGACCAGAGTTGAATCTTAACACAAAAATTGGTATCATATGAACCCAACCAGAGTTCTTCATTGACCAAAAAAATACTTACTGAATATTAGGAAAAAGGCATCAAAGCCCCACAAGCCTTGGGAGTTAAGTTCACACATTCAGAACAAGGAGCCAACTAGGTGGGACCCTGGTAACTTCTCATGCTGGCTTCAGGCAGATGTTTTCAATATTTCCCCTTATTGTGAATAGGATCTAAACCTCTGATTCTTCTTTTGTCTTCTCAGAAGGCAATAAAGAAAACAAAAACATAAAAGACACTAACTGCCTTCTGCAAAACCTGTGAACCAACAATTAAAGATAATCTTGTATTTTTGTTTTGCTTATTTTTTTATATATATAAAACTTGACACCTAGAACTCCCTTGCACCAATTTCTTTTACAGACACACAGAATGCAGGCATGTCAGGACATAAACTAGACACAGCCTGCAAATTCCCACCTGCAGCATATGACCGCTTTACAAGACAGCGCCAAATCGAGGAAGCTTCTCCGGACTTCGAAGGAGAGGGCATACTTGAGGGTATGGCCATCGATGATTAGAGCCACATCATTTTCCTTGCCCAGCAAATCTCCAAGGTCTGTGCAATGTTGGGTGATGGCTGCCCGCGTGGCCTGAAAGAAGAATGGAGGGGATTATTGTTACTGTGCATTTAGCATTGGCAAAACAGAATTCAAAGGCAATGACCTTGAAATGAGAACATGCCCGTTCTAATGTAAAATATAGAAACAGTTCAGAAATCCTAATATTAAAATTTGTTGGAATGCTCTCTAGGGATGAGCAAAAACTTGCTCATAGTGAGACCCATTTGATATTTACAGTAATCCACTCTACTTGGGGTCTACAGCTGATCTAGGGATCCAAACTCTTCTCCACTGGAATTTTAATTACTAAAGATTTAAGGACTGCCTTTCTCTCTTTATACTACACACATGTTATCTTTGGTGCCTCTAGAATAGGAAACTATATGAACAAACATGTTTTTAGGGAAAAAGATAGCATTATTAGAACTCAAATGGCAAATGCTATAACATTAAACTGCCAAAACCTAACAAAATATTACTACCAGCCAAAATAAGCACCCTGGTGTGGTGCTTCTTGTCACATGGAATTAAAGCATAGAAACATTATTAATATTGGGAAAAAAAGACATTCTGATCATCCCAAGGAATATGTAACTATGAATAGGATAGCTGCCTCAAATATTAAAAATGCAGTTTGAAGTTTATTGAAGTACAAAAGTCTGGTGAAATTATTGTCTAAACAATGGTCTTTTGGTTATTAAGTTACATTTACATGCAATTTATCAAATAATGACATGCATTATGATCTTAAAGAAATATGTTTAACAAACAGGAATCTTGCTCCCTCCAGTTCAGTTGAGGATCAGCTGCTATTGCCAAGTGAGAAACAGTTTCCATTGTCTTAATGTTCATTCTCCCCAAAAGACTTTTTTTTTGTACCAGGGATTGAACTCAGGGCACTCAACCTCTAAGCCATAACCCCAGCCCTATTTTGCATTTTATTCAGAGATAGGGTCTCACTGAGTTGCCTAGCACCTCACCGTTGCTGAGGCTGGCTTTGAACTCACCATCCTCCTGTCTCAGTCACTGGGATTACAGGCATGAGCCTCTGTACTTGGCCAAAAGAAAGATGTATTTTGGAAGGACATTTTCTAGAGCCCTGCATTGCACCCATGCAGCCTGAGATCTAGTCCCAACCTTCCACTTAGTACTTCTGTGGCCTTGGGTGGGGGCAAGATACTTAACCTCTTTAAACTGCAACTTTCTCATGCATAAAATGGGGTTAAGAACACATTATGGCACTTTTGATATGAATAAATGAGCTAATCAGTGATAAGTACCTGGAATTGGACTTGGTATATAGTATACACTTAATAAAACCCATTTTCTCCTTAATATTTATTCATTAAGAATTTCCTATATTAAGTAAAACATACATATTCTATTTCCAACAGTGAATAAATACAATCATTGATAATGCTTCATTAATGATGTAATTATAGACAAATAATAAACAGAATAATGCACCATGAGGTAAAAGTTATACTTTTATTAAAAATGAAGATAAAACTGTATATTTGCATTGATAATTATGCATTTCTGATCTCAGTAAGCATCATGAAAATGTCTATATTCTCTTAATCCATGAAAATAGCCTGTTCTTTAGAATTTTTGTAGGGGGAAGAAAATTCCTTCCATTTAGGAAAATCCCAGTTTGACACCTAGGTGTGTTCACTGGGGAACTTGGACAGGTCTGGGCAGTGCTGCCAGGGGTCCATGCATGGAGGACTGAAAAATCTCCTGAGAAATATGTCACCAAAGGAATGAAACTCAGTAGGCAGATTTGTCACCCTGTAGGCAAGCAGATCCCAGGGCAGCCCAGTGCTTTTTGCTTCTTTGGCCATCCCCATGGACCTATACCTGAATCCAAACAGGGAAGTCAAGGAACAGACCATTGCCTTCAGCTCGCTCTTGCACACGTGCTCTCTCTCGCTCTAGCTCTCTTTCTCCCTCTCCCCCTCCCTCTTATTTTAGAGACTGCATGAGCAGAGACATACAGAGTCATATTAGAAAGTCACCTTTTATGCTTGGGGTTACTGCTGGAGCACACTTGAGGACACAGTGGACATCAGCAGCCTTCCTTCCTTGGCTATAGGTGGAGTGGGGAAGCCCCAGCTGTGAACCACTGGCCCCTCACCCATATGAGTGAATGGGGATAGAACAGTAGGCATCACCAGAACAAGTCTGAGTGCTGGGAAGATGACTGTCAGAGATAGGGTGCTATAGCTCAGATGTGTTCTCAAAGTTCACGGGCTGTGACTTCATCCCTCACAAATGGACTATCATCATAATTGTGAGAGTGAGCTTGTTATAAAAGTTAGTCTAGCCCTTTCCTGCACACGTGTGTGCTCCCTCTCTGTCTCTCTGTCTGTCTCTCTGTCTCTCTATCTAATTCTCTCACCTTCTTTTGCCTTTCTGCCATGGCATGACACAACAAGAAAGCACTCATTAGATGTGGTCCCTCAGTCTTGGTCTTCTCAGCTTCCAGAACCACTCATCAAATAAACCTCACTGTTTGTAACTTACCTGGTCTGTGGTCTTCTGTTAACAGTAATACAAAACAGAAAAAGACATGGTAACTGAGAAAGCTATGTTCCTGAGAGGTGTACAACCCACCACTCAAATGTGTAGGGGAAGGAACTGAAAGAGAGCTGGAACTTGAGTGGGGTGAAGGGACAGACACAGAGAAACCCACCCAGCCACTTTTCCTGAAAGCCTTTACCATCTCACAACCAGCCACAGCCAGGAAACCACGGGTCCTACACCAAGGTGTGATATTTTCAGGTTGAACCACAAAAAGTGCACTCTAGTCTCCCTGAAATCCCTATATCAAATCCCCAATTCCCAATGAGATGATTTTAGGAGGAGGGGTCATGAGGAGGTGGTTAGGTCATAAGGGTGGAGCCCTCATGCTGGGATTATGGTGTCTTCTTCTCTCCCCAACCAAGACACAGCAAGAAGACAGTCATCTGCAAAAAATGACCTCACCTTGATCTTGACTTCCAAGCCCTCAGAATCATGAAGAATAAATTTCCACCAGTTAAGCCACAGAGTCCCTGGAAATTTCACTGTAATAGCTGGAGCTCAGAAAAAAAAAAGTCAAGCTCTTGAGCCCACTGGTAATGCAGCACTATTTTTGTTATCATGGGTACATAGAAAGGACACAAGTTGGGATCACAGCAGTGGGAGGATACACAGTCAGTGTGATAGTAGTGTTTACTGTCTGGACTGAGCCTTCTAGAACAATATGGTAAGTGCCATTATAGACATATGCATAAAGTCACTGTCTTAGTTCCTTTTGTGCTGCTGTCACAGATTACCTTAGACTGAGAAATTTATAAAGAACATAGTTCATGGCTGTGGAGGCTGGAATGTTCAAGATCAGGGGGCCACAACTGATGAGGATCTTATTGATGGATTACCCCATGGCAGAAGGCCAAAGAGAGAGCAGGAGATCAAATGTGGAGCCCCAAGTTCTTTTATAATTGGATCAATGTGTGGAGCCCTCATAACCTAATCACCTCTCATTAGGCTTCACCCCCTGAGACTGTTGCATTAAGGACTAAGTTACCAACACACGGAACTTTAGGACACGTCCAAACCATCACAGCCACAAATGCAGTGAGGACAGAAGGTCAGGACAAGGCCTCCTGGTGCTGGGATCCATGTTAGAGTGAATGATCCCTCTGACCTCCTGGCTGAGTTGAATCACAAAGTGTAGATAACGAAGCAGCCACCCTCTCCACTTGCAAATAGAAAGTCAAACTTTACTAAGTTATGCTAGAGTAATAAAAAAAATTGACATTTACATTCTGTTGAGCAGTGATTTCCTCACACAGTACACTAATAGTTTTCTCAGGCAAACAATTAATAAGCAGTCACATGCTAATTCAATTAAGTAGTTGCATGAGTCAAACCTATTTTAATCACCAACCAGGATATAGTTACTGGAGTAGCTACTAAGCTCCAGTGAAGATAAAAAATAAATACCAAGCATGCAGGTCTCATGTAGTCTACTCTTAAAAATCTAACAGAACAATCAATGTGACAAACACACAAAAATAAGGATGAAATAAAGCAAACATAATAATCTCCTATCTATCATCACCATTAGACCCTAGCCTGCTTTGGCTCATTTTTGTGGTTGGCTAGAATTACACTAAATTGTAAATTCGATGAAGGCAGAAACTCCCTTTGTCTGAATAAATGGACCAGCAAGTGAGAGGCCAGGAGGAAAGGGGGCAAGTGCTGGGGAGTGATGTTGGCCATATTATATTGCTATACTATGTGCATGTGCAAAAATTAACAACAAATTCCACCATATGTACAACTACAACACACCAATACAAAATACAGAGACAGAGAGAATATTTAAAAAAAGAAGAAGAAAAAGAAAAGTCCTTTTGCCAACCTCTAATCATGTTAACCCACGGCAGGTGCTCAATAAATGTGTTGAACTTGCACATGAATTGATGTGTCTAAGTCTTGATTCTAAATATTGCCATGTAATATCTAGGAAAAATCATTTATGGGTCCTGAGGGCATCTTTTGACTTCCTTATGAACTACTTCACCTTCCTGGCATTTACTGCATTACATTTTCCTTAAATGACTGATCAGTCTCACTTCTTACTCCTCATCTCTTGGCCTTTTTGCCCTCAACTTCCTCTACTCCTAACTTACTTTTCATCCTGTTCTGTCTTCGCTTCAACTGCTCAGAATCCCACTTTTACTTCAGAGACTGAAAACCTTTCCTAGCACTGAAGCCTCTGCAGATCTCTCCTCCCAACTCCACCCTTGACTTGTCTCCAGCCTCTACTTTGGTTTTAATTCCTACACTTTCCATGCCCACTCAGCAATAATCTTTGATCAAACCCAGACTAGCCAGGTTCACCACACACGTGTGGAGGAATATAGGTCCCTTCTGTGCAGTTCTCCAGCAAGCCAATGGAAGGTATTACTATCACAAACAGTTCCTTATTCTCAAATGGACTATGATTCAAAAGTCTATTTGTAAGGTAGTTATTGGGC